AGCAAAAGGAGCAAACGGAGCAGGGGGAACACCGGAAGCAGGAGGGACACGGGTAACAGGAGGAGCATGGTGAGTAGCGGAAGGAGGAGGATCAACCGCAGGTGGAGGCGGTGCCATGATCGATGTATTGAACGGAGTTCCATCTTTTCTGTGGTTACAATGAGAATAAAACTTGAATGGCTAAAGAACGGGAAAATAAAACAGTATTTCTTTAAATATACTTACTTGAAATTTGGAACCTTCAAAAGATTTGGTGGTATAGGTCCGGAGAATAAGTTGTTTTCTACATTCCTGAACCAAAGATATCAAAACTACAGTGAGTTACTGAAGTTGGCTTTATGGTTGGTGAGTCAAGAACAAAGAGTATGCAAGGTGAAAAAAAAGATTACAATTCGGTTAAGAAAAGATCCTCTAGAACATCAAGAGTTCCGGTGAGCTTGTTGTCCTGCAAATCCCTGCAGTCCAACCACATTAGATGTTAAAGCAGTGGTAACAATCTTTTGGTACCGTTTCATATTCCAAAACATGTGCACTTACAATATCTTAAGAGACGCTAAATCCCCCATGGAGGGAGGTAAATGCCCGGTCAATATGTTAGCCGATAAGTCCCTGCATTAGAAACTAAACGCGTAAGTGAAATACCCCGATGGGAGAAAAGAAAATGAGATTAAGAAAGGAGAAAACATACAGTTTTATCAGTTTTGATAACTGTTGAAAGTAATCAGGTATCTCTCCCGATAGAACATTGTTTCCCAACGACCTGAAGGGAAAAGAAAGAGTCTGCTTTAAACCGAGGAAAAACTCGTAGATGCAAGAAACAGTATCTTCTTTAACAAAGACTTACAGTTCTGACAACTCGGATAAAAAGGACAATGTAAAGGGAATATTCCCAGTGAAGCGATTGCTCGAAAGTGATCTGAAACAAGAAAATGAAACCAAAAGTGGACTGTTATTTAACTGTTTAAAGTTTAAACTACTGAATCATAAGTGTTGCCATAAGAAAATCAATTCAAACGCACAGGTTTCGGATGCTAGAAGGCAAAGCCTGAGGAAGTGTCCCTGAAATATGATTGTTACTGAAATCCCTGTCCATTCAAACAAGGAAGAGAGAGTGTGTTATGAAGTTATCGAAAATTATAACCGGGAAATATTTGAACCGTTAACCACCGAGCAAACTATAACCAATGGCAACATCTTGCAAGAGACCT